ATTAAGAAAAAAAAAGGACCAAAAAAAGAAACATCACCAAAATTCTGAGAGATGAAGTGATTTGCCCAGGATCACACTAGTGTCAGAGATAGGATTTGAACCCAAATCATCCTAACTTTAAGGGCAGTTCTTTATTCAATATATCAAAAAAAGAAAAAGAAAGAATGCTTAAACCCATGGGAACAGATGAGATTTTCAAGGGAGAAGATAAAGAGAAGAGGACCTTATGACAGTCCTAGAAGACATTTACAATAAAGGGGCAGGAGGTAGATGATGACCAAGTGAGTATTTGAGAGCTGGTAGTAGGAAAATCAAGAGAGGACTGTATGAGGCCAAGGAGAAAGGAAATACTTACCTTACCTTTAACTGTAGCCATCCTACTACAGAAACCCCTAAATTACCCTCTGTCTAACAGAACTGTCTCTGGAAAAAGGATGTCAATGACCAGGGAATTTGTTACTTTTTTTAGTTGTCGAAGGATGCTAGAGACCTGCTCCTCTCTTCTGGTAGTTTATTGATAAAACACAAATTCAATTCATAAGTGAATTGAATCAAGGCTATATTAATCACTCAGTAATAAGGAAGGTTTTCAGCTAGGCACTGGAGAGTAAAAGATACCATAAGAAAATCACTTCCCTAACTCATAAAAGTATATTTTTCCAATAGATAAAGAAGCATAAATATACTATAAATTTTTTAAATATCAATAAAGAGAGCCAATCTAAATATGTATATTCATTTTTTAAACATTTTCTAGCAATTTTTTGTATATAAGATCACATTCAAATTATGAGACTGATATTGTTGAATGGAAGACTTTTGTACATGTCTGAAAGAAAAGTTTTGTGTCTTAGGGATTACAATAGTTGAATAAGGAATTGTTTTTGTATTTTCCTATACGTCACAAAAGGGTGAAAGGAATCTTGGAAAAGAAAAGGGAGAGCCATCCTGACTGATACTGGTTCTGGGACCATGGACAAGTCACAACTCCTCAGTGTCCCAGTCAGTTTCTGAGACTGTTAAGTTATAGATGCACACCAGTGAATCAGAGGCCTGAAACACACATACACACACAGAAGACTTTCAAGGATGAATAACTCCAATAAACTCTTTACTCACTTGTTGTTCAGTCATGTCTGACTCTTTGTGACCCCATTTGGGGTTTTCTTGGCAAAGAAACTGGGTGGTTTGACATTTCTGAGTTCTCCAGCTCATTCTACAGATGAGAAAACTGAGGCAAACAGTGTTAAGTAACTTGCCCAGAGTCACACAACTAGCAAGTTTCTGTGGTCAGATTTGAACTCAGGAAGAGGCATCTTCCTGACTCCAGGCCTGGCACTCGATCCACTTTGCCACCTAGCTGCTCCCCTTACTCATATACTACATACCAAATGGTATCTATATAGCCTTCAGATTATAGCTAGTAGACATAAAAATGTCTTCATATATTTTTCTATGTGCTTCAAATGCACCTTTAGGTTTTTACGAATTTTCTTTCCCCTACCTAGTTTCCTCCTCTTTTTTTTTTAAAGCATTAACAGATACATGTAAACAATTTTATCATGAAAGTATCTCACATCACCCCTACCCCAGAAAGAGGAGGAAGACCACAGTACCTTTAAGAAACTTTTGGTAACTGTTTCTTTCTGGAAATAGTAAATAGAATAGCAAAGGGCACCTTGACTACTTCTTCAAGACCTGAAATCAAAATGAGGCATTTAGATCTGCTGTTCTAATCACGTTCACACATTGCTCCTTTCTACAGAGAATCTTTAGCAATACCATACACTTAAGAGATCAGAGGCAGGAAATAGAGAGAAACATTACCAATAGGCCCATGCATTCCAGTGATTTTAAAGCCTTTCTAACAGATACTATTGATATGCATTGCCTTCACACAGTAGGCAGTCAAATTTTTTATTGAATAAGTAAACATAACCTTTGAAGCACACTTTATTTAATAGCTTTCTGGAAAGACAGGAAGAGTTTTTAAGAGAAAGGCATTATACTACCTGTACATATCAATTATAAATCAGTCTTAACTTGGTAACTCTTCCGCACCCCCTGCTGTCTGATTATTGGATGGGCCATTTTGAGTCAGGATAGCTCAAAAATTAACCATTTCTGAGTAAGAAGAAATTTGAGAATGGAAGCATTGAAGAGGTACATATTTCCAAGTAAAAGAGGATAAATCTAAGAATTATCTAATATAAACTGTTTTTAAAATAAGAGAATAAGGCCCTATGCTTACCATACAGAACTACTATACACCAGGCAAATTCAAATTTGCAAAGAAAATGATGGCTGCTAGCAGGTAGGAAGGAAGATAACAGACTGGTTTAAAAATATATTTATTGTAAGTAAATATGAATAGATTTTTCCTGAAGGAAATAAGAATATATGCTTTCAAACCAAGCTAAATGAAATACTGAAGTAAAATGGATTATACAAGAAGATAATGATGAAGAAAAGGATTTTTGTAAAGTAGTAATTAAAATCGATCATTTGCTTTTGAGACTAGGAAAAATCTGTTTCTTTTGCTTTTTTGCCTTATCATTCATCAGAATTATGCCTCAAATATCTTCATACATCTATAGCTTTGTGTTACATGATTTTAATTCAGCACAGTACTCTCATGAGAATTCATCAGTAAGGCCAATGCCAAGAGGAGTTTAGCATTTCTTTTAATCGTAACCATATTGCTCTTTAACATCCATTAGTCCTGAGAAGAGTGAAGTGGCACTTTGCCCAGCTAGCTGAGTGCTACTATGCTTCTTTGTCACCTTAACTCAAAGCTAAATGAGTCAGTTATATAGAAATGGAACATAGCAATATGTGAAAAAGAAAGTTGCTACTCTACCAGCATGGCCTCATGGCAATTTTCTGGAACTTTAGAAATTAAGGAAAGATTATTGTTGAAGTGATAACACCACGATTTTGGTATTGCACATGTATTTCAAGGGTCAGCATGCAAAGGTACTCACAACTCAATAACCTTCCCTTTACTTCTCCTTTTGTTATTGTTCAATCAAGACTGACTGTTCATGACCCCATTTGGGGTTTCCTTGACAAAGATACTGGAGTGATTTGCCATTTCCTTCTCCAGCTCATTTTACAGATGAGGAAACTGAGGCAAACAGGGTTAAGTTGCTTGCCCAGGGTCACCCATAGTGGACCAAACATAGATGTTTCAGGTAACAGCTACAGTAGAGCTCTTAGCTCCTTTTCTGCATTCTTCAAAAGAACACTGAGGTGATTTCCAGAACTCAAATTTTTTTTTTGGTTCACAAGAGGAGCAAAGTGTGGGGAGGAATCAAGGATTGAAAGGCCAATATATAATGATCACCACTCCTCAGTCACTGTACCTGTAGCCACCATGGTATTTTTTTTTAAAACCTATTAGTGTTGCAAGTTTGCTTTAGCTATTGTACCTTTGTGTTTATTGAAAACTAAGAGAAAAACGAAGGAAAATAATTATAGGAAGAATGCTAATTTCAAGACATTAAAACTGAAAAGATACAGGGGCAGTAAAGAATGGTGTTGGATGCTGGGGCTGGTAGAGAAGAGGAGCAGTGGGGATTCCTGCACTTGACTGGTGGTCCTGGGAAAGTCATCTAAATTAACTTGACTTCTGTGTCCTCAGATAACCTAGTTTGCTTTCAGCACTACAACCCATCACAAGCCCAAGATGAGAGTAATCAAACATCAGCCAGTCTACATAAGCAAAATAAACTCAAGGTCACAGATATCCATTGTAAACTCATTAGAAAATTCTAGCAGAAATGCATTTTTAGATTGGAGACACCTGTGTAAAAGTCCGTTACTCACTATCTCCTCCTTCTCTTCTTATTTTGGTCTTATGGACATGGTCAAAGCAGTGCGGGACCTGTCTAAATGCCATGAACTTGTTCTTCACACCACCAGTAAGACCTGCTGCACTGGTGTTTCTAGGCCACGTGTGAATGACCCCCAAACAACATAAACCTGAAGACAGAAGGACTTTACACTAAGCATGATCGAAGTTGGCAATAGTCTCAGGTTTACTCCTCTCACTTCCCCTCCACCTATTCCATGTGGAATAGTCAACACTCCTATTCTCTTCTCTGGATGCACCATACACTAAAAACTCACTTTCAGGAATCACTTGGCTTCCAGAGTGGAGTTAGCAGACAGTCACTGTGGGTTTAAACAAGGAATAAAACCCCCAAGTGGGGCAACTATCGATCTAGGACCAGTGTCTTTCTACTGACTTGAATATGGATCCAAATTTCGAATTATGCCAATTGTCTTTACCCCCTTCCCATCCAAGGTTCTCCAGAACAGAGCAGTAATTGCCCGGATTTAAATATTTAAGTTTGAGAGAGAATGAATCCTATTTTCCCTTTCTAAAACAGAAAGCAGCAAGGAGACCGTCTCCTGCCTGTGAGACACTGAAGGGATGCAGGAAGGGGTACGCAGGAGAAATTTCACCTCAATTCTAACCAGGACTCCTGTCCAACAGGACGCACAGGGCACAGGCGCTCTGGCTCCTGTGCTTTCCTCCCGCCAGTCGCCTGCCTATCGATTCACGATGCGCTGCATTAGTGCATCCAAGTCACGGTTCCCGGGTACTCGGAGCCAGAGCCCCAAACAACCACCCAGCAGGCACAAGTGCAGCTGTAAACTAGGTGCAGGGAGCAAAAGGATACATATCTCGTCCAAAGAAATTACATGAGTACCTGGCACGTCAGAGACTGGCCCCGGGCTCTTGCTCACAAACCCAGGCAGAGCTTTACAAGGGTTTCCAAATTTCGGGCACCTGAATCAGCCCCCTTCCTAAGAAAGGTCTGTTACAGGCTGGGGATTGCGTTGAGCGGCTGCAGAGGCAGTCCCGAGACGCCTCTCGACCCGCAGCCAAATCTTCTTTCTTCCCGGTCAGCTCCAGGGGCGCCCGCAACCCTAACTGCTCTCCCTCCAGCACCTTGAGGCTCCTCACCACCACCCCCAACCTCGAGCCTTACCTGCCCGAGGGGTTTCCGGCAGCCCTTTGACAAGTCCCAGATGCCGCAACTGGAAAAGTTTCCGAACTTCTTCACAGGTCTGCAAATCATCGCCTCTCGCACCGGGGAAAAGGACCAAAAGGATGAGGAGGATAAAGTCCAAACGCAAGACAGGTCCTTCTTCCATCGCGATTCCAGCAACAGGAGCGGGAGCCCAGGCACCCCGGCTTTTCCCAGAAAAAGGGCACTATCCCCCACTTCCCTCCTTGGACTCACCTGCTTTATTCCCTCCACCCTAGTGCAGCCCCCCGAAAAAAAATAATACGTCTAGGATCAGAGACAGAGTAATCCGAGAATTTTTGCTGGGGAAACTCGTGAGGAAGGAGTGAGGAGACTCGGGCACTGATTTCACCTGCGAGCCCTTTGCCTCCCTGGGATGGCTGCTGAGGCCGAAGCAGCCAGCTGGGACGCTATCTGGTCTTTACCACACAGCGGAAGGGAGTTTGCATTTATTTGCCTGGGGGCTGGGAGAGTATCTGTGGTCACTGCTGCTGCGGCAGCTGCAGCCGCCAAAGCTTCAGCACCTCCACCCTCTCAGAGCCACTGGTTCAGCTTCCAGCTGCAAACCTGAAACCCTAGCCCGCCTACTTCGGAGTGAGAAACCCCGCCCTCTTCTTTCCCCCCCCCCCCCCCCGCGCCCAGCTTCCCCAATTTCAAGATATTGTTCAGGTCTAAGCCCACCCCTGTCTGTGACATCATAGCATGTCTGGCCAGAGCTAGCCCCTTCCCCCCCTCCCCCCCTGCCACTAACCCTCCTCAACCAAGCTCAGGAGAGCCTCAAAGAGGAGCCTCGCTGTGGAAACAAATGAACAAAAAGCATGTTACAGAAAAGATCTGCAAAAGAGAGACTCCTAAAGAGATATCAAACACGACTTCTGGGCCGAAGAGATTTTTCTTCATTTATCAAGATTCTCGTTCCACTGGAATTCTGTTCAAGTTGCCTGTGATGGAATCTGTCCCCAAGAAAACAGTCAGCAGTACTTAATAGTAGGACCTTGCTAGTGATTTTTAAAATCACATCTATTATAATGTCTATGTTTGAGTGGATGAGAACCCACTTTTTCTTTTTAAAGTACTCACTGCTATTGTAATAGGAATTTTTAATCTTTCTTTGAAGTGGATAGTATAAAATAAGGAAGTTGGATTAGATAACTATCTACAGTTCTAGCATTAAAAATAATAATACTATGGTATTCTGAATGACTTCTAAAGTGGTAATAATTCATTTTATCATTTTTTCAACCAACATTTAATAACCATTTACTATGTACAGTGTTCTGTGCTAGGCACTGGGGAATAACACAAAGACTAATAAAACTGTGTCCTCAAAAAGCTTGCAGTTTGGGGCAGCTAGGTGGCGCAGTGGATAGAGCACCAGTCCTGAAGTCAGGAGGACCTGAGTTCAAATCTGCCCTCAGACCAAACATTTGACACTTACTAGCTGTGTGACCCTGGGCAAGTCATCTAACCCCAATTGCCAAAAAAACGAAACAAAGACTTTCCTCTCCTTTTTGGTTTTTCCAAGATTTTCTGTACATGAAAGAATTGATAGTCATATCCCCAAAGGGATTTTAAGGAAAAATCCACAAGAATAAATGAAGAGATTATTAGTGATAACCACAATCCAAATTTATGTAGCACTTTAAGATTTGCAAAGCATTTTATTTGCAATAATCCTTTGCAATAGGTTGTATAAGTATTATTACATCCCCATTTTAGAGATGAAAAAACTGAGGTTCTGAAGGGTTAAGTGGAATTGGGTATGAGTTGCTATGGGTATCTGAGACAGGATCCAAATTCAAGTCTCCTGATCCTAGATCCAATACTCTAGCCACTAAACCAGCCTGCCTGTTGGCAGAATAATGCTGAGTGTGCCAGCTCAGAAAATTAATAAATCAAATGAAAGATGCTTTCTTGAGCCCCAACGAGGTTCAAGGCACTGTGTTAGGCACATAAAAACAATTCTGTGGGTCCTGGTGCCAGAAAATTAATATGATTGAAAAAGCAAGATATTAATTTAAAAATTCAAATATAAATAAACAAGTTGTTTATAATGTTGCAAAACAATTACATAGTCATGGACTTAGTATTAAACATTTTACATTAAAAATATGTGGAAACAGGGAAGCTACATTCAATATTAACCCCATTAGATTGTAAGCTCCTTGAGGTCAGGGGATTTCTTTTGCTTTTCTTTGTATCCCCAGAATTTAGCACAGAGCCTGGCACATAGTAGGATCTTAATAAATGTTTATTGACTGACAGACTGGGACGTAAAGGACAAAGGTCTTCTATTAAACTTATTTTTAAAAATTCATGGAAGAATCAAACCAGTTTTTAAAATTTTACAAAACAGTTATACAGATATGGACTCAGAAATAAAATCAAAAGTCAAAGGAAAGAATAAACCTTAAGACTAATTCTTCTGTGGCAAAAATAATCATGCCTTCATTTATCACATACCTAAGTAAATTTTTAAATAATAAAGAGTTTTCTAAAAGTAAGGCACACAGATACTACTAGAATTTTAAAGTGCACCCCTTTAGCTACATTGATAATATTTAATATTGAATTTAACAAAAGACTAAGATCCCAGATTCAAGATGGAAGGGATTTTTGAGATTATCTAAACCAGCACCATCATTTTAAAGATAAGGAAACTGGCCCAAGAAATGATGACTGTCTTAAGGTCACTAGCAGGATAATAAAGATTGAAACCTAGGTCCTCTGATTCCAAGTCATATTCTGTTTCTACGATTTCACTCTGCTTGTAAATGTTGAGGAAACAGGAATGCGGTATTGTTCTGGGGAAGCAGGAATCTAGTAACTAGTTGCTAGTTTATACCACCTGGGCAAAAGGCAAGCAGTAGTCAGTTCCAAAGGAAAATACACACACACACACACACACACACACATACACATCCTTGGTTCCATTTTTCTTTAGTAACAAATACAATGATACATTTTCCACAGCTGGCCAGTAGTGGTTAGGAAGAAACAAGGCCTCCTGATGCATAGTTTTTAAGGCTCCCCAAGGCTCGTCTAGTCACACAGTGAAGCAGAGGGAACGAACACGACCTAAGTGGGCTATCTCTATCCTTTTAGGCTTTCTTCTGGGGTGTTATCTCTGTTCCCATGCTTCTCAATCTTTTCTTCGGACTTCTCAGAATTTTAATTAGTGAGAAGATGAAGAGCTATCTCTGCTTCTCACTTCTGGATCTTCACTTTGAAATTTTTTTCTGCCTTTTGATTGGCCATGACTTTGCATGGGGGATGCTTCTTTGGCCAAAGACTGGCAAAATGTGCTTTTTCAAGGAATGTATCATGCAAAATAAAAGGTTTACAGGTTTATTTTATCTACTGATAAATGTACCTTTCTTTTTTGGGGGGAAAGGGATGGGGAATCTTCCAAGGAGGTTTGCCTTTGAAGTTGCATCAGACGCAGCAAAGCTTTCTTAAATTGCAAAGTATAGTGGGCTATTTATATAAGCAAATGTGTACTGGAAATCTAAAGGGGATTTCTTGAATGAGGGTACTCCCCTATTGCTACAGGTAAAGCTAGTTAAATTTCTTATGACTCAGGAACAATCTAATAGTCACCATCTGGGCTTTAAATAGCCACTCTAATTCATGTGTTATCCTTTTATTTCCTAAATATTTTAGAGATTATGGAATTTGTTATCTGCAAAGGATTCCCTCCTCACCTATGTTTATATGTAATATATATCCTTTAAATTGGGACAGTTAGGTGGCACATTGGGTAGAGTTCTAGGCCTGGAGACAGGGAGACTCATCCTCTTGAATTCAAATCTGGAGTCAGACACTTACTAGCTGTGTGACCTTAGGTAAGTCACTTAATCCTATGTGCCTCAGTTTCCTTTGTAAAATGAGCTGAAAAAGGAAAGGGGAAACCACTCCAATCTCTTAGCTAGGAAAACCCCTAACTGGAGTCATGAAGATACAGATACAACTGAAATGACCTGTATTTATTCCCATAGTAGAATATGTACTGTATCCCTCAGTACAACATAAGCACTTTGAAGGCAAAGTATTTACTTCCCTAGTAGAATATAAGCTCCATGAGGTCAGGGTCAGGGTCACTTTTGCATTTATATCTCCAGTGCCTGGCACATAATAGGCCCTGAACAAATGTCTGTGAGTTGATTGACTGACTGACTGATTAAAAGAGATATTCTTTTATAACTGGGGAGCAAAATGTTATTACTGAGAAAATTTCTAGACATGATTCCAGTCTGATTCCCCACTATTCCATTCCAACACTAACATATTATCCATGTGCAGGGCTTGTCAAAATTATATTACATAGAAACCCAAAGAACTCTCACATTTTCGTTGCCGTGGAGTATCCTCCCATGATATCCTTTATAAATGGGCTCTGTGGCCTACCGCCCCCTTCCCTCAAGGCAGGTCACCCATGATCATATGCTGCAGCCCACTACCTGACAGGGGTTGCTCAGGGGCCGCCACTAAGGTTTACGTCATCACAAGAACAAGCAACATGGCAGCAATCCTGTCCAGCGGTTCACTGGTAGCAACTCATGGCTACTACTGAAGATGAAGACATCTGGGCTCCACTTCCACAATAGCTCCTGTGGAGGGCTGAGTATTCTGGGGAAGTGATCCCCCATCATCCTGGTCTTCCCAAATCAGACCCAGACCACTGGTGGGCAAGCTTCTTCTTTGGGAAGTTGAGTCATCCATTCATGACAACAGTATGGGAAGCCCCAGAGCACTCAGGAACTTTCCAGGTTGCTCATGGCACGATCACCTGTGACCTGGCTCAGGAGGCCATGAAGAAGTGGCATGTCAGTGAGCCCAGCAAGACCAGCACTGGGCCTTCTCTGCATGAGTAGCAGCACCCTCCTTGTTGCTCCCCCTTCTGAAGTGTGCTAGGCATCAGAGCCCATTTCCCCATCTCCTCTCCTTTCCTCCCCTTTCCTCCCCTCCCCACCCTTCCCTCTTCCACCTATTCCCTTAGAATAGACAGGTTGCTTAAGTGTAGAAGTAGTTCTGATGTGTGTGTGTGTATCTATGTACATTTTAAAAGAAAACAAAAGCAAAACACCAAAAAACAAATAAAAGAAACCACATTATTGTTTGTTTGTTTGTTTTTTTACCATCTGAATCATCCATGTGCTTCCCAGTAGCCTCAGTAACTTGTTTACTTTGCACTCAACAGAAACTAATAAGTTTTGAGCAGCCTTTTAAAAAAAACTATATTATATACATATATATTTATATTTATATCACATATAAATATATTCATGAAATAATTTGATGACAACTACTTGGAAAGCTTGTTTGTCTTGTGTGGATGGTTAGAGGAATCACTTTTCCTATTATTATGGATTTCACTGGGGCCTTTAAGACAATAGTATATTCAGGCATCAAGGATATCCTTTTTAAAAAACACAAAAACAATAGGCTTTTGTAGGAAATTTATTGGGGGTTTTTTGTTTTGCTTTTTTGCTAGGCAATGGGGTTAAGTAATTTGGCCAGGGTCAAGTACCAAGTATCTGAGGCCACATCTGAGCACAGGTCCTCCTGACTCCAGGGCCAGTACTCTATCCACTGTGTCACCTAGCTGGCCCTTTTTGCAGGCACTCTGATGCAGCAGATCCACTCTCCTGTTCAGGACAGGAGAAGGTAGAGATGCAGAACTCCTCCCAAATCCTTCATTTATGTAGGGCACCCAGGCTAGAAGTCTCATTGGTTCCCACCCCACCCCCTGCACTCCTCTAGAATTTGCCTTCATGTATCTTATCTCCCATCTCCCACCTCATCTTCCCAACCCCTCCTCTCCACCTGAGCCTTTTCAGTTTCCTTTTGTTTGTTATCTTCTGTTATTAGATTGTAAACTCCTTGCAGGCAGACACAAGTATGAGATCCTGCCGTGATTATTGTTCTTTTTTTTCTTTTTTTGGCAATTGGGGTTAAGTGACTTGCCCAGGGTCACACAGCTAGTAAGTGTCAAGTGTTTGGTCTGAGGCTGGATTTGAACTCATGTCGTCCTGACTTCAGGGTCTGTGCTCTATCCACTGCGCCACCTAGCTGACCCGATTATTGATCATTTTTAAGGAAGCATTTGACTTAGAGCAAAATACAGCAATGAAGATGTTCAGACAAATCATCTCACACATACTTAAAATTATGCAAGATTCTGAGAAATGCCACTATGACTACAGTGATTACTTTTTTCAAGTTTCCTCTGAGTATCAGCATTAAGTTAGGTTTAAATAAAAAGATATAAGCTCACCAAAGTATTTCCTGTTGTCTTGAAAGGTGTCCTGAATAAAGTTCTAAAAAATGAGGGTCTCCTAAAAATGGTACAATTTGCAGATGGCATTATACTAATTGCATGGAGCCTAAGAAAACAATAAAACCTCTTTAGTGAAATCTAGAGCCATTACTTAAATGGGAGAAAGTTTTATGATAATACTCTATCACCTACATTTATCAAAATTTATTTAAAATATTTTTCATTTATAGCAATTGTCATGTATTTACCAAAATTCCTAGTTTTAAAATTGTACACTTTCTCACCAAAAGTAATTTACAATTCCATTAACAATGTAATAGGGTGTTTGTTTCCCCAAAATCCAGTCAATATTGCATTTTGTCATTTTGGACCATTTTTGTCAAGCCATCATTATGATTTTTAACTTGCAAAAAGGAGGAACAATAAAAACCTGATTATCCGGTACTCAAAAGTTTAACATCCTCAAATGTCACATATCATGTTGAATCAAGTAAATAACAAAGAGTTAAAAGCATAAAGTTCCATTTTTGTCTTTAGTTGCAGCACACACACATTACCTGATTATGGTCTTTGGCAATAAAATGCTAAGATTCATTAATCTTGTATGATATTTCCTCATTAAGTTATAGCAAGTGAAATAAGGAGAGGAATGCCAGTGGTTCAGGCTTTTGAATTTAATAGTTAAATCATCCTCTTTTCCAACATAAGTAATAACAATTATTATAATAATTCCTTAACTACTGATATAAAACTCAAAAGATATTGATAAATTCAGGGAGGGTGATAATGTTATGGAGGGCAAGAAGGTAACTTAACGAGTGGTTTCTTCAACCTTTGGCTCAAGAGCTAATTTTTCAGAAAGGAAGCCAACTTATACTGACTTATAGCACAGTCTCTATTTTAAAAGGTAAATGACAAGAAATCAAGCTGACATCAAGAATTTATTCAAGAAAGCAACTGCAATAATATGTCATGGAAACAGGATAGAATTACCCCTGTTTCACAAATATCATTTCCCTCAATAGTAAAAAGAGGGGTTTGGCTAAAAAAAATGCACTCTCTGCTCCTTTCCAACTCTAAAATGCTACAATTTTCTGAAATTATATACATATATATATATAAAATATATCAGAAAAAGTAAACAAAATGTACCTCAATTTCTGAGACTGAGATTAAGAAATGTTTAGTGAGTTGTACAAGGTCACAGACAAGGAGGAAACTCTTAAAAAAAAAAAAACTTAGTCATTCCTTCCTCAGCGTAATGAGCACTTGTAGTTAAATATGGAGACCAATTATCATCAACTTTTCAAAATGCAAAGTATAAAGACTCTACTAATGATTAAGCCTTATAATTGATAATTATCCTTGATTAATGAAAAGGAAGTACTTCCAGAAGCTCCCCACATTATGTACTATTGTCATAATTGATCTTTAATTGTTTCATCTAAAGATTTCTTTTATCATCTGTTTCATCTTTGCTATTTATTCATAAGATCTGTATGTAAGCCCTAATAATAACTATCCTTAGATGTGACATTATTTTACAAATGTAATTGTAACATAATTAACAGTCTAATTCTCCTTATTTGTTTACAATAAACCCACATTTCTAGGCAAAGGGAAGTCTTTCTATTTGACCATCCCTGAATTATCTTCTTTGGCTAGGATTCTATGACAGGACTCATGCTAGAGAAGGGGAGGAAAGAACAATTCTCTATCCACATGAACCAACTCTGAATGTGTCAAGTTTACAGGAGAACCATCTTTCTGCCCCCAGGATGAAAACTGTTCATAGGCCTCCCCTACTTTGGATGACTCTTCTGTTGTTCCTCTTAACTAATGCTCTATTTCTCTCCTTTCAGTGCCAAGTTTCTCATTAACTCATGATGCACTCACTGCTTTCATTTCTTCAATATTCACTTCCTCCTTAACCTCCAGCCAATAGGCTAAAGGATACAGTATTTTAAAAGCTTACTTGAAAGTCACAAATGACCTTTGCATTTTAAAAATCTAACTTTTTTTCTTTCTCTCTTCCCATTCTCTTATACCACTTTGCTATATTTGACACTGTTAACCACTCTCTCCCTCTTGAAATTCTCTCCTGTCTTGACTTTCATGATAGTACACTAATCTGGTTTCCCTCCTTCCTTCCTAGCCCTCTATTCCTTCTTCTACTGGTTTTTCTTCCTCCTTTTGAGCCCTAATTATGACCATTATTCAAAGTTCAATCCTCAATATTCTAGTCTTCTTTATCTATACACTTTTGGCATAGGAGAATGTGTTCTGGATTTGGAATCAAGAGATGGCCCAGCTTGTTGCTATTGCTTTGGGACTTAGAGGCTGTCAAAGAGGCAAATAAGTCAGTGACACTAAAAAGCTTTAGTCCTTTATAACAGTCACAATTTAACTGACACAAGATAATGAAACCAAAAATTAGACACGCAAGGGTGGGCAGGGTCAATTGACAACAGCTGTTGTTGAGGGTAGTTCAAGAATATACCTGGGGACAGAGGCAATCCAAGACACAACCAGGGTTGTTCAGGTTACTTCAGTAGGAGCAAGGAACTCAATGATCAGTGATGATCCTGCATTCCTGGGTTCTTCATCCTTCACATATCAGGGTACCTTCAAAATACAGGTAAGGGTCAATGGGATTATAAGGAGTAGTGGGGTCTCTAGCAAGCACATCTGACTAGTTTTCTTCCACAGATGACACAGGAGGGAGACACTGGAAATTACTTACAAGGATCCTACTGTGGACATTTAAAACATTATTTTTTCCATATCTCCAATAAAAGCAATGAACAATTCATAGTAAAACATCTACCAATCCATTCTCATTGATCCTGGACTCAGATAGTATAGAAGTTGCTTTGAATCTAGGAGTTCTAGGAAACTCACATTTTAGGGAAGGAAGAAAGGAAGGAAGGATCTTATTAAACATTTACTATGTACCAGGTACTATGCTAAATGCTTTAAAAATACAATCTCATTTTATCCTCACAACAACCTGGGAGGTAAGTGCTATTATTTCCCCCATTTCACAGATGAGGAAACTGAGGCAAGCAGAGGGTAAATGACTTGCCTAAGTTATGTATCTAATATGTGTCTAAGACCAGATTTGAACTTGGGTTCCTGACTCCAGGAACTTCTATCCACTATGTACCTAGCTGCTTTTGAGCAGGCAAAGGAGGGAAGATAATACATAACAATTCAAAATTCACTTTTGACTCATGAATTCCAAAGGACTGGTCACTAGGCAAAGACTCAGATTCTTCTCCAACATAAGGACATGGACTCAGGAGAAACTCAATGTTCCCATGGCTGATTCTTTTCTTGATCTCACCTGTTTGTCATAGACAAGGACTTCAATGACTGCTTGCCTTAGCGACCTCATGTACATGGTACAGGGATAGTATACCCAGCAGCAATCCCTAAAGAAGTAAAACCTATTAACTCCATGCTGCCTTGGCATACCTCTTTTTGAGTGAGGCACTCCACTTCTACAACCATGGCTCTTTCTTCATGTCTCATTGACACTTCCTCTCTCAGTCCTATGAGCCAAAAACTCTGTTGCCCAGAGAGAGGATGGGGCATTCAGAGTGAGATAGGTGCTACATATGTAAATGTGAATTTATTATTATTATTGTTGTTGTTGTTGTTGTTGTTATAAAGAAGAACAGGAGACTTCAAACTTCTATGCTGATCTTACTCCCTGATTTCTCATTCCAGTCCTGTCCATCTCATCTTATATTTTTAACACTCTGTTAAACATGGATATCCAGCCATCAACTCACTCCTCTCTCATTGTCAGTGATCATTCTCGCCATCACCCATGCTTGAAACCTCAGTCATATTTTTCTTTTCTCTTCTCTCTCCACTCTCTCGCTTGACAATCCCATGACTTTAAATAATACCATCATATAGATGACTTCCTAATCTTTGTTTCTAACCCTGACCTTTCTCCTCAGCTTCAGATTCTCATCTATTGTTTATAAGACATTTTCACCTAAATTTCCTACTGTCATCTCAAATGCAACATTCCTAAAATCATATTTTATTATCTTTCCTGATAATTTCCCACCTTTTGACTGCACTGTTTTGGTCAATGATTCCACCACTTACCCATTCAGTGTTTTAAAGAGTATAATATTTGATTCTTCCCTCATATACTACTAAATTATATCCATTCTACAACCATGATATCTCTCTCATCCTCATTATCTCGTGTATTTCTGCTGCCACCACCCTAGAATGTCAATCCATTGTCTTAACCTATAGTATTGCAATAGCATCCTAAAAGGTATATCTTCCTGCCTTTACTTCGCATCCCTCATTCCCATCTCTCCTTTACACCACAGTCAGACTAATCTTCCTTATATATAAATTTGATTATGTCACTCTTATGCTCAAAACCAATATATTTTCCAGTTGGTGACCAGGTAAAGTTCAAATTCCCTATACTTGCATTAAAGAAGCTAAACAAATAAACCAGTTCAAGAATATTTGGTTTGTTTGGAGTTTTTGTTGAAATGTCTACACAACACACACACACACATACCCACAGGGAATAAAAGCATGTCCTTGGCTAAAAAATAAATAGTGCAATAGTAGCTCAGGGGTGAGAAGATATAGAATAAAATACCCCCCCAAATTTTTTAAAATCACTAAACAATAAATAAATCAGTAGGAAACTATGATGACTCTGAATGAGAAATGAGCAGCTCCAAGATGGTGAAGCTGGATGTTCAGTATATCAGTGGGATACAGAGAAGGGGAAAGAAAGAGAATTTTCTCATATTAACTAAGAGTGCTGAAGAAGTAAAGGCCCTAGTCTTGAGCTAGAGTTCAAAAAGTAAGGGGGAATAGCAAAGAAATACATTCACTCACTATATCAGGTTTTATGAAGTGCCAACCCATTTGCAAATTAGAGAGGATCATCACAGAAGAAAATAAACAATGTTTTAAGATGTTAGTGATGTGACATTATGTGACTGTGACTACCCTTCTCTGTATACACATTATACACTGATTCATTTATACATGTAGTAAAATAGTTTCTGTAATTTAAAATGCCTTGTTTGCTGTATTATAGTTGAAAATGGGTATTACAGAAATGAAAAGCAAAAAAAAAAATTGAGAATTCCTGTATTGTGATCTAAGTAAAAAAGATCCTCACTTAATCTTCCACTAAAGAAAGTGAAAAGTTAGCACAGTAATGGAATCCAACCATATGGTATACTTTTTGAGGACTATTGGGATGGCCACATTTCTTCACAAGGGTCATCAGGTCCTTGGTTTCAGCCATTAGATTCTTTTACATCCAACCATCACAGATGACTTTGGCCATAGGTGGGGGCGGGGGTGGGAATCCTCCCCTGTGTAAGAAAGAACAGTGATTTTAAAGAATTCCAACTCTGCTACTTACTACCTCTATGACCCTGATCAAGTCACTTAACCTATACGAGTATGAGTTTCTTTATATGTAAAATGAGACAGAATTGTAACCCAAGATGATCCCTAAAATCTGCCCTTGGAAAAGTTATGGGCAGCATTTTGACATTGCTGCCGTAGAAGACCTCTGTAAGTTCCCTCAAGCCTAGGAAAGTCTAAATTAACCATAAGGGGGACTGGTCAGTGTCTGAATATATTCCAGCTAGGAATAGGATATAAGTTAAGTGACTTGCCCAAGATTTATAACATATGGTTTAAAATCCAGTGCCAGGAATTCTGAAAGTTCCCCAGCACCAAACAAAGAGTCCCCGGAGTAGAGACTGAATTTCTGTAGGTACAAATTACTTCCTACTTCTCTGCTTATATGTGTCTTCCTGAGAAACTGGGGATGAATTGATACTGGGTGACTAGGCAAGTGGGGGTGCTGTTCCCTTCCAGAAAAGAGAATAGTGAAGTCTGAGAGAAGGCTTGGTTCTCCTTACCAGGACCACTTCACTGTTCTCCCTTCCAGAGGAGAACAGCACCCCCATTTGGCTAGCACCAGTCACACTTTTAAATTCCCGGAGCTAATAGAATGATACATGAAATATGAGCAAAGTACAAATAATATACTTTCATTTTACCTCAGTTTCCCTTAGATTTATAGTGGTGTCAAACTCATATAGAAATGGGGGGCCACTAATACATACATAAGGACCCCTATGGACCACATATTGACCTATTTTTGAAATAAAATATTGTGTTTTATTGTATTTTTATTTATTTTGCAAATATTTCTCAATTACATTTTAATCTGGTTCAGGCCACACACCCAAGTAAGGTCCTAGAAAATAGATATGACCCCCTTACATTTCCTTTCTTTATAAATGTTTTATCACGCTCATGTTTTGCTAGACTTTTTTATTAAAGCGAAAATTCCTTCTGCAAAGACTTCTGGGACTTTCATTTTACACCATACTGAATCAGGCTAAATCAGTTACCTGATAGATTGGCATCTTTGTTTTAAGGTAAAATTTCTCCGATGTCATCAATGTACATTTTAATCTTGTGTGTCCAATAAACACAAGTGCCATTTTTTTCCCAAGAATAAAGCTATTTGTTTCTGTTTTGTTATATAAAACGTACCAAAACATACTATTTCCAAGGTCAAAAGGTTCTGAATTTTATAAGTCTCTCAAAATGTAACAGAGATATGCCCAGATGTGGCAGTCTGATTCTGGTGAAGAATATAGAGACACAATACAGCTAGAGAATTTAGGCAAAAAAAAAAAAAGCGTTACTAACAGTAAGATAAAGGAAAAGATCATGCTAAATATCTTCATTTTAATTGAATATTAATAGAAGCTTCTTAAACATCTTTAGATGGTAACTTACATGCAAAATAATTTAGTTTTAAAAGAGTTTCTAATCTTTAAATTCTATTTCTAACCCATGAAATCTTAAATTAGAGTAAATAAATGAAGATGGCATGCCACTTCTAAAATGTCATAAGCCCTGTATGAGAGAATCAGAGGCAAGACAAGAAATACATTCACAGAGAGGGGAGATAGGAACTAGGTCTGTGACTTCATTGGTTCAGGAAAGCTCTGGAGAGGAATTCCTTTTACCAACGTAAATTGGCACCTTCTCTGCTATGCATAGTCTTGGACGATTGTCTAGAGGTTAGTCACTGGCTGAGCATCACACAGAAGTATATATCAAAGGCAGGAATTGAACATAGTTCTTCCTGACTCCAAGGCTCCTTTGTGCCTTGCTGTCTCTTGGTCACAGAATCTAGTCTAATTCCAAGGAAGGAATGGAAACATAAGAGTGTTTGGAGGGCTCAAATTTCTCAAAGGCAAAGAAAGAGCTCACTACAATGTACTGTCCAACACAAACACATTTGTTATACTTCACACCATTCAACATGCAAGAGAAAAGCAATGACTGAAAGTCCTAGGGACTGTTGAAATTGTTTATGTTTTTCCCAGATACAGTAGTTACTGTCAAGGGCCACCCCTCTTCTGAGAAGATATGCCAGCCAGCCATATCTCAAGTGGAGCGTAGACTAATGGAAATATGGACCTGTATGACTCACTCATCTAAGACAATTTCCTGCTTTTGTACAATGGAGTAAGTAACCTCAATGTAAAGGTCATAAACAGAACCTAGGATCCCCATTGACCAGTCACCTTTTCTTTCCCTAAATGCAAGCGTTAGAAAATGTTTGTTCCTATACTGCAATACATTTGCCATTATCTAACAAATATAGATGCTTCTGGGAAAGGGTTGTCCATAGATGTTTCTCATAATTTCCTATGAGCCCTGATGTAAGTTCTATTTGTTTTTTTTTTCATCTGTAAATAAGTCTGTTAATTCTTTGAATCTTCTAAACCGTGTGCTTACAAGGGGATTAAGTGATACTCCTCTAAATACCACTGAAAAATTATTACCAGATTATCTGGATGAAGGAAACTGAGTCATAGAATTGGTAAATCCATTGTTATGGAGGAATTAATACTTAAATTATCTGAAGGATGAGAATATACCAAAAACAGGGATAAAAAACATCTTGGATCCTATTAATGCCCCCCAAAAAAGTCAACAGGAGAACATTATCAACTACCTTTTATGTGCCTCCTTTCTCATCTATATGAAATGTTTATGAGAATAATAAGCATACATCCAAGGCATGCTGTATTATAGGATTAGTAAATAATAGACAAGCTTTTCATAAGCAGTATTACATAGTAGGTCACATCTTTACCATCACACAAATGACTGAAAAATGTGGAGAATACAATATCCCACTATGCTTATTTTTTTTTGTTGGCTATAAAAAGGCTTTTGATTCAGCATAAAGTAACATGCCACCTTAAAGCCTTTCTTCTAACAACGTATTTCCTACCCATATCTTAAAATTATTGAAGAATCCTTGAAAGATGCACCAGAGGCAACCTCATTTCACATAGGATTATATTGCAAATATGACTAGCATGCTATCTATCAAAAGGAGTCTTTAAAATAAATTTATTCAAAATGCAAAGAGAATGCTTATTAATGATAAAGACACCAAACCTAGGCTCTTTAAAAAGAGGATCAGGTATCAGGATGAGTGGACTGTCACTCCACTGCCCCTCGTCAAAAAGGGGCCATTAACATTTGACTTTATCACCAAACGTCTGTATGGGTAATAAACGACCTTCCTAGTGCCTAGATGATTTCAACATAATCTTGGTTAAGGACTCCTTCGAGTTTCTTTTGCCCTTTTGCTTACACTGAGTAGATCAGTAGTTTCTTCTTCTTTTTTTTAATTATTATTATTTTTTTTATTTTTAGGCAATTGGGGTTAAGTGACTTGCCCAGAGTCACACAGCTAGTACGTGTCAAGTGTTTGGTCTGAGGCCAGATTTGAGCTCAGGTCCTCCTGACTTCAGAGCTGGTGCTCTATCCACTGCGCCACCTAGCTGCCCCCAGTAGTTTCTTCTTAACAAAGCCATAGCTAAGATGTTTTTCGTAATGAGTGAAGACAATTGGTGGAAGGTAGAAGGCCACATTGCTAGTGTCAGTGATAGTAGTGGCAAAGGAGGTGAAGAGGGAAGTTTAATCATGGGTATGAGTAGTTGGCCTATATACCAGAGTCCCCTGGTACCTCACAGGAGTTAGAGGGAAAGTATAGTGCCCGAGGAATTGGGGTGGGGAGAGTACCATGGCAATGGGACCCTGAGAGTCTCACCCTAGGGGGCATGGCTGACCAGACTAGCAGAAATAAAAACAAAAACAAGGCAAAGTGAGGTGTGGGGATGCTAGTAATCATAAGGGAGAGGAATACATACAGTGAGGCAGACATACCTTATTCAGTTCAAGCTAGTTATAATAGTTTCTCTTGATACCATATTAGAACTACTGCCAGACTTACACCATCCTCATTTCTGGGACTCAAATCTAACACATTAATTCTCTCTACTTCATCTCGTTTTCATGTAAATCAGAGGTGACACAGGGCCCTTGGGTATCAGATTAAAATGTCAATGGGAAATACTTAACAAAATAAATAAAATATAATAGAACATATCTAACATTAATATGTGGTTTTCTAAGTCAATAAGCAGCCTGCAGGGATCCTTATGTATGGTTTAGTCATCCCTCCCTACAGTTTCTATTTGAGTTTGACACTACTGATATAGATACCCCTTAATGATCACAGCTGATAAATATAGCTCCTCTGAGGTTTTAATATAAACCATTCCCCAAGGTTGAATTAACAAACTGGAAGGACATTCCATTAAGGTCAGATTTAATAAAGTTATATATATCTCAAATCCAAATAGGATGCTTTCAATAAAAATGCAATTTTGGAATGTTTTTATTCAAACTGCAAAAGAAAAGAAGGATTATTAGTGATGACAGGCATCAAATTCTTTATTATATAGATTTCTGAATTTCTTTATTATATAAGGATGAATGAATTGTCAAGCCAAGTGCCCCTCATAAAAAGGGGCCATAAACCATTTGACTTTATGACAAAACACTTAGTGTGGGTACTTTCCAATACCTGGTGATTTCTACAATCTTGATCAATGTTTCCTTTGATTCTTCTAGTCTATGCAACAATTGCTAATCAGCTCAGCCCTTACTTTTTACCATCCTCTAGTCAGGCTGGACTTGGAATCACTTTAGTTAAATGCCTAAAATATACACTTCCCATCCAGTATATCTAGGCTCTAAGAATTATACAATGGTAAAAATATAAACAAATAAAGCATAAACTATGCTCTAGGATAACAACCAGAAAATTATAGAATTAGGGTTTACCATCTATTCTGCTAATTTAGAAGATATTTTTACAGAAAATTACTAGAAATTATTACGGTTCCATAAAATTCACATTCATGCAATAATCACTTTAACTAAAACCCCAATGCCTATAACAGAGTATTTGTTGAATCGAATTAACAATAGTTGCATCTGTTAAAAAGTCTTGTTTGATCCTAAAATGTGCATGGAAAATATTTTGTGGATGGATCCTATAAAACTGAACTTTCCCTAACAAGATTTTTTTTGGGATAATTAACAAACAATAATGCTAGACTCTTATATTTGCTTCCACCCCTTAGTTAATTTTATAAATGAAGATGCTATTGAAAATCATCCTCAAAAGCCTACCTTTTTACCTTCTTACTCTTTTCATCAAGGACACCCTCAATTCAGAGACAATTCTCATGGAGTTAGAAAAATAGGAAAATAGCCATTTTGGCTATTTTTATATTAATTTAATATTAAAATTATAATTAAATATATGTATATATGTATACATTTTTGTTTAAAAAGAAGTAACCAAGAATAAATCAACTACTACCAACCTATATATATATATGTATATATGTATGTATTACCCAAGATCTTTCCATTCTATGAGATCCTTCTTTGAGATATCCTGAATATCTGAATTCACTATCTGAATATCTTCAAAATTGCATTCAGTACAAGATTTATACACATTTATTCAGGTTCAGTCACTTTTTATGAAAACTGGATCTCAAGGAATAAGAAAGGAGAGGAAAAAAACTACCCTCAATAAGTTCAAGTCACTTGACCCAGATGAACTCCATCCAAGAGAGAAGTTGAAGTTTGGTACTTTCTCACATGACGAATGTTGGAATTAAGATGGTGGACTCCAGAGGTTGTAGTCCCACTATCACGGCTGATGAAACAGTGACAGAAAAAAAGGGGGGAAATAGTTGAGTATTAGTTCTACCTTCTCTCTGACAGACCATTATCATTGTCTCATCCGTCCCAAACAGGGATCCTAAATTTTTCTTCTTCTTATATCTAATCCAAAATTCTCTTTCAAAACTTTTTTTTCTAAAGCTCTGGCCTTGGAGTCAGGATGACCTGAGTTCAAAGCTGGCTTCAGACAATTGACATTTACTAGCTGTGTGACCCTAGGAAAGTCACTTAACCCCCATTGCCTCACCAAAAAAAAGCAAAACAAACAAACAAACAAACAAACCAAACAAATTTTTTTCATTGTCTTTCAAATTTTTCACATGTTTATATGGAGTTTTAGCTTTCCTGACACTCTTCTTTCAGGAATTTCTCAGTCTAATTTATACTTACTCTTGTTTTTGTCTCTACCCACTTTTAGAACATGAATTCCTATTCCTCCTCACTGACACCTGCTGTGCCTCCATCTTTGTCTGATCTGGGAAAATCAAGCTAATATGTGACAGTTCCTTGAAGACAGTATGATGCTGGAACCAGCTCCTATAGCTGAGCTACAGAAAGTCAATTGTTAAATTTTCAGTGTGAGCATTAACTCCTCCAAAATCAGCAAACACTACACATCAGGGCATGATTTATTGTTTTGTTGATTGTCCAGACTTAGGAAAGTGATGGAGAGAATGTTAATAATGCAGATTAAATTAAAAATTGTGTCATGCATACATTTTCCCAGAGAGACAGTTGTTAAATATTTACCAGCACACCATATTAGAAGGTCAATTCTATACAGCAAAAAGCTAGACGGTCGGCAGATTTTAGGGTCTGCACTGTTTTATATTGAAATATACACCAACAGGAGAAACCTTTTGTAAATACACCAGTCTTGGGACAAGCAGATCCTCAGTATCTTTGAATTCTCTAATAATAAATACATCAGATAAGGCTAAGTATGCACAGAATTTCTTAGACTTCCTTTGCATCAGGTGCTGCATCCGTGAATATTCATCAGACACTCTAGCTATCTCTAGCTGTATGATTCTCCTCCTTAGCTAGATGAAGGGAACTGATATACCTAGCATACATCAACCACACTGGGCAGCCACATTGTTTTCATACGTCACTATCCTCTTTTCTTCTTCAATAGAGTCATTTGGGGCTATAATACCAGGATGTTATTCCTGAGAATTTTCAATCTCACAATTACTGTTTTTTAGTCTCAAGCCATTCAATATTATATATCCTAACTCTTAAATCTTTGATCAATGTTTCTAAGTCTTTGGTACATGACAGAGTATATTTGCCATCTCTTGTCACAAACTCTAAAGTGGTGTGGTCCCTGCATCGCAGTGCCCCTGTCTACCCCAGCAACCAGACTTTGCTCAGCAGTCCAAAATCATAGCTCCCCTTGTTGTGCCTTTCTTTTTTTTTAAAGTCATTGAAGAATTCCCTTTTATCCTGTTAACAGTGGGAATGTCCTCTCTGCAAGGAAAGTTATGGACAAAGATTACAAACAAAGGCTTTCCTCCTGATAAGTTTGTCTAATTTGTCAAGGAGCTCCCTTGGTCGATCCCCTTTAAATTTCTCTCCTTTTAACCACAGCTGTAAAAGTACTTGTCCCATTCCTGCTCTAGATTTTGTTGTTTTGGGTGATAGAGAATGAATCACTGAGAATAAGCAGGAATGAGTGTATTATAATCTGCCTGGCCAATCTCCCGTTCCCCACAAGACCATTCCTCTTCAGAACTTCCCTGTTCTGTCTCATTCTTCACCTTCACTTATCCCACATATCCAAGTTGATGCCAATTTATATCATTTTTATCTCCATGTTCCCTCTCTCTTCTGCCATTTCTCTCCACCCACATTGCCACCACCCTAGGTCAGTCTCTTATTACCTCTTGCCTAGTCAGTTGCAATGGCCTACTAATTGATTCTCCCATCCTCAAGTTTCTCTCCACTCTCTTACATGCACCTATTAAAATGATTTTTTTCAGTAGAGATGTTACCATGTCATGCCCTTCTCCCTTCCACCCATGCACCAACAACATTTGATAAACTCTAGTGGCTAGTTGCCTTTGAGATTTTTACATGTGCAAATTTAGCTTATGCTTTATATAATAATAGCAGTAGTTAACATTTATGTAGTACCTACTATGTGCCAGACATTATGCTAAGGGTTTTATAATGATTACATAATTTAATTCTCACAACATCCCTGTGAAGTAGGGGCTATTAACCCCATTTTAGTGGTGAGAAAACTGAGGCAAACAGAAGTTAAATGATTCACCCAGGATCACACGGCTACTAAGTATCTGAGACCAGGTTTGAACTCAGGTCTTCTTGATTCCAGGCCTAATGCTCTGTCCACTGAGCCACCTACTTTATAGGGCCATTGTGAGGGAAGAATCTGCAAAGTCCTCTGTAAGCTTAGAATTATGTAAGCTATTATTAGATATGTAAGCTATTATTAGATAGAACATATGGGCAGCTAGGTGGCTCAGAGGTTATACAACTTGTTCACAGATGCATAGCTATCAAATACCAGGAATGGGTCTCGAACCCAGATCTCCCAACTTGCTCTTTAATAATCACAATAGCTGACTATGTATCACTCTAAAGTGGCTTCCCTGTAGCCTCTGAAACTGTTGATCACCTGTGGGCTCTCTTCTCTTCTCCCTCTATACTATTTCACTTGGTGATCTCATCAGCTCCCAAGGATCCAAGTATTATCTTTAGGTTGATGATTTCCAGGTCTATTTATCTAGCCTTTAACTTCTCTTGTCTCCTCCAAACTCTGATCTCCAACTGCCTATTAGACATCTCAAAATGGATGTCCCATAGACACATAGTGGGCACATAATAAATACCAGTTGACTGACTGAATATAGATATGAGTTAGATGACATTATACAATCAGATGAATTCAGGAATGGTTGGAAGGCCAAACTCTTATATTAGTACATGCTTCAGTGTCAATGTGACAGGAGGTCTGCAGTAGGATGTCAGAGATAAATACTTTGCCCTTTAATATTTAACAATTCATCAGTGACTTGGATTAAGGCATAGATGGTATCCTCATCCAATCTGCCATTGACACAACACTGGGAGGAATAGCTAACACAGGATAATAGACTAGGAATCCAAAAGGATCTTTGTAGGCTTTCAGAACATTGGGCTGAAACTAATAAAATCAAATTTAGTACTGATAAATGTAAAATCTTATATTTGGGCATATGTATCAACTTCACAGATATAAGATGGGGAAAACATACACAAATAGGGACCATTATGAGAAATATTTTGGGGGACTGCAAGATCAGTAGAAGCTAGCAGTATGAAAATGTAGCCAAAAAATTAGAATATAAACTCTTTGAGAGCAGGAACTGTGTTTTGCCTCTTTTTGTATTCCGGGCACTTAACATAGTGCCTGACAAGTAGTAAGCCCTTAATAAATGTTTATTGATTGATCAAAAAAAGCAAATTTGATCTTGGGCTTGAGAGTTATAGCTTCTCAGAATAAGGAGGTGTTAATCTCACTATTCTGCCCTCATCAAATATCATACGGAAGACTACGTTCAATTCTTGCCACCAGTGTTTAAGGACACTGTTAAGCTGGAAAATATCCGGAGTGGGGCAATCAGGATAGCGATGGGCCTTGAGTTCGTGACAGAGGAGGATTAATTTGTTGAAAGAATTGGGCGTGTTTAGCCCAGAAAAAAAGTAATTGTTGGGGGTGGGGCACAGAGATGGTAGTTGTGATGAATATTTGAAGGACTGTTATGTTATGCATTCTACTTGCCCCAGAGGGCAGAACCAGGAGCAATGAGTGTTACTTGCAAAGAGAAAGATTTAGGCTTCATATCAGGAAAAACTTCCTAACAATTAGAGCTATCCTAACATAGAATGGCTTACTTCAAGAAATGTTCTGTTCCCTCTCCTTGGAGGTCTTCAATCAGAGGCTATACGATCACTTGTTGGAGATGTTATAGTGGGGATTTCTTTGTTTATGAGTTGAACTGCATAGTCGCTGAAGTCTCTTCCAATTCTCAAATTATTTAATTTTGTGAAAATGAAAGGACATTTTCTTAGTGTTTATAATCCTTGTTAATTTAGCATAAAACCTTAAACAATTTCTATCTTTTTTTTCTTTTTCCTTGCATCTAGATTTGTTTTGTTTTATTTTTTTTCTCTGATTTCCCTTGTCCAGAAGCAGATCTAACAGCTGTGGCCACAGATGGTATGTACTTGCCAGTTGAAAATTCCAGCTGCTAATCATTACCCTGAAATGTCTTTCTAGTAGTATTATTCGGAATCATTACTGGCATGTAGCCTTTTGTTTCCTTTTCCTCCCTAGATAGTTATCCCTGAGTTAGAGTGCAGCCACAGTGTATCTGGCTTGTTTTTACCAGATGTGCTTGATCCTTCTTCTTCTTCTTCTTCTTCTTCTTCTTCTTCTTCTTCTTCTTTTTTTAATGTGAACTTGTTTCACATTTTTCAAAGTAAAGCCCTTTCAAGATTAGAGATAAAAGAATATTCAGATATTCCATGCAGTTAAGTATTCAGGTATAGTCAACTTGTCAAGACCAAATCCTAGAATGGTTATTTTCAACCTTTTTTTTTTTTCTTAATCTCATGACCTCTCTAAAGGCTACTAATATCTTGATATGAGGCCGTCAATGCTGCTGAAAGTCAAAAAAATTTTTTGAATGACTTTATCCCTTCCAATATAAAAATAGGCACATTCTGTTTTTCTCTTGGCCCTGAAGCTGATCTTGCAGATTGAGAAGGATAGAATACTGGGGAAAGAGCCAGAAAGAAAAAGAGTCCAATTCACTCAGTTTGCTCTAACAACCACCTGTTAACAACCAGCTGCTCAGACCTCTAGTCTACATGATCTCTCACAACTTCTTTTTCCTACATTCTGCTGCACCAACCCTTCGGTCTGAGAAAGATGACCTAGAATCATATGCATTTTTAGGTTACCTATTTAAATTAGCAACATTTTCCTCTGAATTTATCCACATTACAATAGAAGAAGTCTGATTTTCAATCTGGCAGAGTTTTCAATTTAAGCAAGTTATTTTATAGAGTAAGAGGTATCATAAAATAGTGGATAACAAGATGGCTGTGGAAACAGGAAGATTTGAAATCAAGTCCCGTTTTTGACACATAGGAACTATGAGTCATTGAACTAGTCACTTAAATTCTCAGTGCCTCAAATAAATTTTTAGACAGTTAAGTTATAGATTAATTGCCGATTTGCATAGAGGGAAGAATTTCAACTGACTAGTGTTCTCCATGCTAATGAAATCACAGGTCCAGAACAAAATATATATCTACACATATATGTATATATATGTATATGTATATGTTCATCTATATGTTTCCTATGTGTGTGTGTGTGTATATATATATGTGAGTGTGTGTGTGTGTGTATACACATATAATGTTGCACCCAGGGTTCCCTAACATAATTCCCTGCTGGCTACTCCCACATTCATAATACTCCAGGACAATAATCCATCTCAATCAGTAATAACAATCATAATCATCAAAATAGCTAACATTTTATATAGCACTTTAAGGTTTGCAAAGTGCATTACAAATAAATATTATTATTTCCATTTTACAGATGAGGACACTGAGGCAGGCAGAGGTTAAGTAAATTGTCCAAGGGTCACACAACTAATAAATATCTGGGGCCAGATTTGAACCAAAGTCTTTCTGGCTCCAGGTCTAGTGCTCCAGCTGCCCCATTTAACTGAATATTTTGTTGTGTTGAGCCATTCAGTCATGTCCAACTCTTTGTGACCCCATAGGTCATACTGTCCATGGGGTTTTCTTGGCAAAAATACTGGAATGGTTTGTCATTTCCTTCTCCAATGAATTAGAGCAAACAGAGGTTAAGTGACTAGCTCAAGATCACATACCAAGTGAGCATCCGAGGCCAGATTTGAACTTAGAAGTCTTCCTGACTCCAGGCCCAGTACTCTATCCACTGAACCATCTAGCTGTCTCCTACCCTGGCTGTCTCCTACCCTGACTGTCTCTACCCAAGCTTAAATAAAACATGTGACTTAAAAGTAAGGTATAAATAGTAAGAAATTAAAGCAACAAGTACTCTCACTGTCCATTTCCCAAAGCAATCACTTCCCATACCTCCAGAAACTAGAGCCTGCCTACCAAATACATTCTTTGTCCATTTCTCATACATTCAGCACAATGGAGGAGAGTCACCAGCAGTTTCCTTTATTCGTGGATCTCTTACAAAGGTTATCTTCTAGAACTGGTTCTGCTGGATAATTTCTCTCTCCCTCACCCACACAACTCCCCTTTCATCCTACCATCTCTTCCCCCCACGTGTCATTAATGCCTGGGAAACAGAAGGGGTTTTAAGAGACTTACCCACAGGACAAACACTAAAGCTTCCATGTCTTGGAGATGTCAGCACAGGAACAGCCTTGTTCTATCAGATTTTGTGGATACTAGACAAAAGGAGACAGGAAGCTAAGTTCTAGGAGTCTTCAGAGGGATTCTAGGGAATTACCAAGCGTGGAAGAAATGTCTGTGGGCTGCCCTAAAGGTCATGAGGAAACAACGATTGCACAAGAAAAATTTCAAACAGAAAAAAAAAGCCTAAATTCTAAAAGTACTTCAGAAACAATCCCTAAGGGATCATAGATTTAGATATGGAAGGGACATTAGGCATCATCTAGTCTCACTCCCTTAGTTTATATAGGAGCAAACAGCCCTGGAGAGGTGAAGTTACTTGCCCATAGCCAATAAGAAAGTAGTAAGTGATTAGTGGTGGAGTACGTAGTAGAGCCAGGCTTCAAACTAGCACCTCTAATTCAAAATCTGGTGATCTTTTTACTGTACCATCAGGCCTCTTATATCATACTTTGTCACAGCCTTCCCACCATCTTAACACTTTTGTTTATCTTACTAAGTATGTTGAGAGACTTGTCCCCTCAAAACGTGTTTTTGCAATAAAAGTCAGTATAAAAACAGACTTCACTCAACTAAGTTTGCTTTACAGAAATTTGGAGACAATTTTACTATAATTCATCTCTTCTATAAAGTGAAGGCATCTTGTAGCTTCTTTTTATGTTAAAGTTTTATTCTGTGAATAGTATTTAAATACAATCTACATATATATGTAGTCGTATGTTTAGAACAAGCTTATTATTTAAAATTTTTTGAATTTTAAAATTTGAACTCTAGGTAAATGTTTAATTGCTGACAGTGTCCAATACATTTTCCCAAATAAGATTTTCTTGATAATTTAGTGTACTCAAAAAGAAGTTCTTTTGTTTAGCCGTCAGACTTACAGGGTAGTTGCAAAGCATTGGAGCCACCAACTGTTCAAATGTGGCAATACCAAGCTAGTTTCGATAATTTACAGAAGAAATAAAATCACTTAAACAGAAATTCTATTAAAGAAAAGTACAGTTAACTTAGATATTTAAAATATAGTGTTCAATTTTTTTGACGATTCATGAAAAAGTCTTACCTAGAATTTGAACAAATCCTACTTTTGGAAAAAATGTATAATTCTCATAAAAAGAATGTTTCAAATGTTTTGAGATTAAGATATTTATAATAAAAATGAATAGTATGTTGTTAGTTCTTTTAACTAGGCAAAAGTCAAAGAGCAAACAGTAAAGTTTTGGCATTATAAGAAAAGTGCTTATTTTTAAAGTATATAATTTTGAATTTACGTTTTAAAATAATTATATACTATATAATGACATGGTATATTTTCTAGCTAAAGAGAGATCTTGGGGCACCATTCATATACAGAAAAACACTATTAACAAATGCATTCAAGTTCTATTTATAATACTTTAATCACTCAAATAACAAACATTTATTTGGCACTTACTATGTGGTTGCCACAGTTGAGTAAACAAAATGAAGTCTAAGAGAGAGTTCCTGTCCTCAAGGAGTTTCCAAGAAAGGCATCAGGGTGTATCAGAAACAGTTCTGAATTTGGAATCTGTAGATAAGTTTAGCTCCCAATTTTCACACTCACTATGTAATCATGATCAGTCTCTTAACCACTATCAACCTCAGTTTTCTCATCTGTGAAATGGGGATAATTATATCTGCAATATTTCACAAGGATGTTCTGAAATTCAAATAAGATAATAACAGAAAGATTTTTGTTTCAGCATGCAGCTTGAGATCACTGAAAACATAGTATTCTCAAAAGTATTCTACCCTGGGCTTCTCTGACTTTTCAATTGTGAGGCAAAACCATTCCTCTAGCTTGTCCTTAAAAGAAGATCCATAGACAAACATCCAGAGACATGCTATATTCTGGGAAATAGGTATTCTTTATCCTATACACTTGGTTTTTCCTTTGTGGCATGTTCTATCTCTTTTATATGGCTATAGATCTCACTGAGTAGTCCCTATGGTGTTATGAGGCTAATCAGAACAATGTTATCTGCAAAAGGGAGAATCTAGATTACTTCATCATCGATAAGGAATTTCTGTTTTATTTGGTTACTACATTAAACATTCTCCATGATAGTGATGAATACTTTTGCAAAGAATATATTTCCTTATTTTATGCACTGTTTGATATTGACAATCAAAAGAAGATTAACCAAGGTATCTCTTGCATGAAAGGAATCTTGGATGACATTTAAAAATCCACAGGAAACAACTTTTTGTTGGGGAGCCTCTAAGGTTGTGGTTTACTGTATCAAACCAAATGTTTTTCTGTAATCAAACATTAAATAGAGTGGCATTGTTTTTATTTATTTTTTCAATTAACAAATATATTTTCTCTTCCTCCTACCTCTGTTGTAACAAATATGCAGTCAAGCAAAAAGAAAAAATCCCCCATTGGCCATGTAAGAAAAAAATATGTACATAAAATTTAAAAGTTTTTGTATAAACAAGTCTAATGTAAATATTAGAAGTAAAACAGATAACTAGGTTAAAAAAATTTTGCAATAAGTTTCTCTAATAGTGGCATTATGTGCAAAATATATAAGAAACTAATTCAAATTTATAAGAGTAAGAGTCATTTCTCAATAGATAAATGGTATATAAACAGTTTTCAAAGGAAGAAATCCAAGCTGTCAAGAATCGTGAAAAATACTTGAAATCGCTAATAATTAGAAAAGTGCATATACTATCCGGAACTGATTGTGTTTATATACACATACAGATATATATGTGTGTATATGTGTGCATGTATGTATACATTTTAGAAATGAAATCCTTATCAGATAAACATGTTGCAAAGGTTTTTACTCAGTTAAAAACTTCTCTTCTAATATTAGCTGCATTGGGTTTTGTTTGTGCAAACTTTTCAATTTCATGTAATCAATACCGTGCATTTTTATCCTCTGTGATCCTCTCTATCTCTTACATGATCACATACTCTTCTCCATCTATAAATCCAAAAGATAATTTCTTCTTTTTTAGTGAGGTGATCGTGGGTAAGTGACTTGCCCAGGATCACACAGCTAGTAAGTGTTAAGTGTCTGAGGCTGGATTTGATCTCGGGTCCTGCTGACTCCAAGGCCAGAGTTCCATTCACTGTGTGACCTAGCTGTCCCCCCCCCAAAAAAAAGATAATTTCTCCCTTTCTCTTCTAATTTGTTTATGATGTGACCTTTTTTTTAAAATTTAAGTTGTATGTTCATTTAGAGCTCATCTCATTATATAGTATGAGGTATTCATTGATTTAAACCTGAGCTGCCTCTGCACTCTAAAGACCATAGAACCTTTCCATCTGACTTGTCTTCAAAACTTTCCATATATGTTGTCTCCCCCATTTGAATGTGAGCTTCTTGTCTTGTCTTTTCATTTGTATCCCCAGCATTTAGTATAGCACTTTGCACACAGTAAGGACTTAATGGTTTTTATTCATTCATTCATACTGTTTACCTGGCTTTCAGTACATGGCAGCCTTTTATATATTTGATGTTTCCTTCCCTTTCCGAGCTTTCCATCCTTTCCAAGTATGGACTTGGACGTAGGGAGTTCACAAAATGGGTAATATAATCCAGGAAAACTGCTAAAAAAAAATGTGTACTGCTCCAGCCCTAGGCTATATAATCAATTCCATTCAGGTATTTATTATGCACTAACAGAGTGCCAAGCATTGTGCTAAACCTTAGGAGAACAAAAACCAAAAAAATGAATCTATCCTATCCTTGAGGACCTTATATCCTACTGTGGGCTATGTGGACAAAAGGTATACAATGTATTTCATGGTGTTATTAAGGGATATAAGTTTAAAGGGAAACCCTGTGACAAAAATTCTCTTACAGGCCTTGAATTTAAACTGAGCACCCACATTAGTTTGCCATTTGACAGAGAATTAAAGGAAAAATAAGCTGAACTTCAAGATAATAATAATGATAGCTAACATATAGCACTTAAAGGTTTGCAAGGTACTTTACCTACATTATCTCACTTGATTAAATTCACGTTTTAGATACAGTTTGATGAAATGTTATTATAACACAAAAATTTAACAGACCTTTCCTCTTGATGAAGTAGTATTTAAGAATGGACTAAAATTTGCATAGTTATCCACTTAAATAAATCTAACATGTGACATGGATGGAAAAAAAAAGAACTCATCCAAAGCTAAGTTTGTAAAATTATGTACCTGTTACACATATGTGAAAATTAAAATAAAACAATTACATATAAATGGGCTATGAAATTATTTATGTGTGCAAAGTTTAATAGGTGATATTTAGTGGTTAAAAAAAAGTTTATAAAAAAGCAAGTAACTATTATATATTTAAATAATTAAAAACACCTGAGTGGGATTAAGTATGTATTTAAATATGCAAGTACAGTCTGTAGTGTCTCTAGAATGCCAATAACAGGTCCTTATTTTTAAAAACTGAGTTTTGTCACTAATTTTACATATCATCTTACTGAATTTCAGTAACAGGCCTATATACAAATCTGAAAACATACAGATCAAGATATTTTCCTAAATAGATTTTTCTTTTTTTGTTTATGCACAACAGGACCATGATGTTAATAGGTAGCAATGAAATTAATGCTGTAATAGCACCAAAAAGTATAGGGACATTTCCATAAGGTGGAAATGTAACCATGGTAATTAATCTGGGTGTTCTATAGAATTAAAGCATAATAAAACTGGGTACGTGGGATGGAAAGCTTAATCTAATACACACAAAATCCCTAAAATGATTGCCTTGGGGGTAAGAATGTCTGATTCTGGTCCCAGCTCAGCTAACTTTGAGACTTTGCACAAGTCACTATTCATCTCAAAAATCCTATTGTAAATATTACCAATTTCTTCTTCAGTATGTATCTAAAATTTTACCCTTTTTCCCCATCCTGCTAGTCTCTTTTCTTGTTACATCATACATAGAATAGTTTCAGAGTTTCTTAGTTACAATTTCTCTGTAACTCCCAAGTGTAATGTACCCTAGAGTTATTTGAATGATGTTACTCAGGGA